ATTCAGGGTATTCCACATAAATAAAATCAAGTAATAGGTGACATTTGGTGACTTGCTCCTTTCACCTCGCATAATGTTTTCAAAGGTCATTGACACTATAGCATATATCAGTATTTTTTATGGCTGAATAATATTCCATTGCATTATATACCACAATTTATGAAATCCTCAACTCTACTTAAAGTGTTTGTGGTAATGTTTGATCATCAGTACTCACTGAACTCTCTACCATCAGTGACCACACTTTTAAGAGTCCTCACTCAGAAGCCAGTCATTGCCTAGTCAACAAAATAGAAAGTTGTTTTCATGTTGCACTAAGTCAGTAAAGCAACCCTCTTTGTAAAACCCATGTGTACCAGTGACCCTGTGCATGGAGTACTATTATCACCACTTTCATTTTGTCGGTGCAGAAACCGAGACACGAAGAGCTGAAGTCGTCGTTCGGCGTCGCAGCCGGTAGGCGGCGGAGCCTGGACCAGGCAGGCCCCTTCCCCTTGCATCGCTCCAGCAGCACGGCCGGCCAGCCACCCACACAGCCCAGCCACAACTCACCACGTCAGTGTGGTTCTCTGCATTAACTTTCAGGAAAGATTTTCACATTCAGGACAGAAGAAGTCTCAGGTAATAACTAGGTTTGGCTCTAAACATTTGTTTAAGTCAGTCCTTGTAATTTATAAAACGAGTTCCCCTATGAACAACGATTTGTAGCTTCTCATGTTAGGCCACTGAATGCTTAATTGTGCAGCAGAACATTACTGTTGCATTAGCAGACTTAAAATTATTTTTATTGGAAAACACATTGCGAATGGAGAAAGGAGGAATCTGACACTCAGCTCCTCCTCCCAGTGGTGGTGCTCTCTGCACACTGCCTGCCCCACCCCAGGCAACTCTGCTCCAATATTGTGAAATTCCACGAGCAGTGAGACCCGGCCTACTGAGGAGGAGGCTGAAATCGAAGCGGCTTCCAGGCGAGCCTCCTGAGAGGACCTGGGGCAGGCACCGGGGCTGAACAAGCTCCCAAAGCAAAGTGGCAGGATCGTGAGGAAGTGCCGGGGTGGGGGGGGGGAGCGCAGGGAGGGTCAGGGTTTGTGTTTGATGTTTAGTGGGGAGCTGCAGGTTGATTGCAAATCATAGCCTCAATTAAGTTCTAATGTTAAATGGAGACATTCTGGAACATTATGCCATTAGGATAGCACAAAAAATTAATATAACATCACTTTTACATACGTTTTTCAGTATGAACTCAAGATAAATTCCCATACAGTGCTTTAGAGTTTACGAAACACTTTACCACCCCTAGTCTCTCAAGGTCTTCGCAACAAACCTGCACATTAGGTTAGACATTAATACCTGTTTTACTGATGCAGAAAATTGATCATGGGGGTTCGTTAAATGCTGTAGCCACCCAGCTAATAAGCCGTAGAACCAGGACTCAAATGTAAGCTTTCTAAGTTTCGGAGTCCCGAGTCCTCTCTGCAGCGCCGTGCCACCCCAGGCCGAGGACCCTAGAAAAGGCAGGCACAGGACCCTGACCAGTTTGCAGAAAGGGAGTGGAGAAGTAAAAATCGTTCCAGGCAGGAGAAACAACGGCAAAACACAGCTTCACACACTGTGTTTGTGGAAGTAGATATGACTTTCCCTGAGCATTCACTTTGTAGCTTACTTCTCCCTTCTCCAAATCCTAAGTCCTGAAGTAAAAATTACCTCAGAGATCATGGAAGTGAGTATATAGTCCGCCTCATGTGAAGGAAGAGTTCAAGCTACGTTTCAAAGTCCGGATCATGTCACACCAAAATGATGTGTTATTTCAGGGATATTCACAGTTATGTTTTATTCCTATACGCTGAACATTTTTATTTATTTACCCGCCTACCCCTTCCTTAATCATAAGCACTTCTTCAAGACAGAAGCTTTCCATGGTATTGTCACACCATACATTTCTAAGAGTAGATTGACTCAAGCCTGGGGCCACTTTTGGGGGCTCTGAGACTCTTCCAGCCTCCAGGATGGGCACTGCGATTGCCTGTCTGGCCGTCATGCAAGAGGAAGGGGGCTGCTCTCCCCAAGGCTGGCTGGTTGCAGGCTGACTGGGTCCCAACTGTGAGCCACCCACCAGCCACGCCATCTTGTTCTGCTGACATCACCGAAGCCCCTTCCACATCATGCTGTGGAAAAGGGAGAATTTCTCCGAGTGCCTGGAATGTACAGATGTGACCTCCATTAGCCAGGCTCACAACTAGCCGCTACCCTAATACCCAGCTCAGAGCACCTTATCACGATGGTAATACAGAAGGAGTGAGGAGTTATGTTTTATTCCTTGTAAAGCGGCAGAGAATCTGCACATACCCTGGGGTAGGGCTGGAGGCTGGGATATGGGGAGGAGGGAGAAAATGGTCACCAGTGAATGTTTGGCCCTTTTCCTGAGGCTTTGTTGTACCTCAGATGGAGTGACCTTAGGCATAAATCTTAGGAGGGGAAGCTTAGAAGTTGGTATGTTTGGCTCAAATCTGACATATTTCATTAGTGTCTTTCTAAGTGATTGGGCAAGTTTTGACTTTCTTGCCTCTTCCTCTTCGGCCTCGGCGACTCAGTGGGTGATCTGGGTGGAACACGGTGGCCCCTGCACTGCCAGGGCATCTGTAACGCAGCCCCAATCTGTCACCAGAAGCCCTAGACTTGCATTGTGTCTTTGCTATCGATTAGCTATGTGGCCAATGGAGCCAGCATTCCTTCAACTATTTACTGAAAACAATAACGTTGGTACAAAAATGAAATAAAACAGTTTATGTGGGAAAGCTGAAAACTTTTAAAATGCTCTTCAAATACTATTTATTTACAAACTTAATAAATGTCACTGTACTGGTGAAAACAAAAGAAAAAGTCTACGTCTTTCCTAGTGTAAGTTTACAGCCTAATTTTCTAAGATGCAAATTGTTTTCACACACAAAAAAAGTGAACATTCACTTTGTACCCAAGTAAAATCCGACCACAAATAGGGTCACTTGGTAGGCTGTACGCAGAGCAGAGAAGGGAGTTATGTTAAAGTGGTTTGATTCAGTATTTCCCATCTCACTAATTACAAATGCCATTCCAGAGACCGACACATGAATGCCCTGTGGCTGAAAAATCCCATAATGAAGAAGAGAACATGACTTCACTCGTCGCTTCCCTGCCTCTAATAGTTTTTCATCATTTCATTAAAAAATTAAAAAGAAAAATCTACCTCGTACTGCTCAGTACGTTGACTGCCTCCTCACCAGTCAAGACTGATTTCCAAACCCACTCCTCCCTCGTTTCCCCGCCCCCGGGCCCTGCCCCAGCGGCGGGCCTCCTGGAAGCGGGGGCTGCGGCTCCGGGCCGGCCGCTCGCACCAAGTCCCCGGGCTGCGCGCCAGGCCGCCGCCGGGGCGCCGGAAGGGGCTCCCGCGCCGGGCTGGGGCTCCAGCCGCCCGTCCCCAGCCCTCCCTGCCCCTCCCCCTTCCCTCCTAGGGCCCACAGCTGCGACAGAAATTAATGGGCCGGAGGCAGAGGTCACACCTCGCAGAGCAGTAAGCACTGCGCGGGCACTCCGTGGGGACGCGGGCACTCGCACCCTCTGGGGCCGCAGGGACGGCGCCCTCGCGGCGCCTGCGCACCCGGGCAGCCGCGGCCCCGCCCTCCTTTCGGGAGGGGCCCGCGCCCCAGCCTCGCCTCCGGCACGTGAGCGCCGCGGAGCCCCGAGGCAGAGAAGGGACCCGTTTGCTTCTGGAGCTGTTTTCCTCGGGAAAGCTAAATGCTGCTCTGTGAGTGTCTGTGACAATGAAAGTTCTGTTCAGACGGCAGGCGCTAATACCGAGGCCCCCAGGAAACACCCGGAGGGCCGAAGAGTCGCGGGAGCTCTTCCTGCTCCAGGAAGGTACCCCTCCCCCCCGCCCCCCCCCCCCCACACCCCCCGCCGTGGCTGCTGACAGGCCAGCGGGGAGTCACCTGGGGAATTCACCGAAGAAACGTAATTCCTAAAGCCGAGCGTGAGGAAACAGTTGGCCTCAGGCTACGGCAGACCTGGGGTCCAGTCCAGGCTTCAGCACTCAGTTAGCACAGGACCTTGGGAACACCCCATTGATGAAGTGGGGACGTGAAGTCTACCTTAGGGGCGGTCGAGAGGACTGAATGAACACTATACGTGAATAGTTGGTGCAAAATAGTCACTCCATAGATGCTAGTTGCGTTTCCTCCCCTCCCTCTGGCCTGATTATGAGGAACTATTTCTCTTTAGTTCTCCAATTTTTCCCAATAAAGATCTTTCACAAAGATAGCCCCTGATAAAAATTTAACCCAATAGCAAACTCAAGGTCTATCAAAAAGAAGGGGCTCAGAGGTCTGGCTAGTGTGGCTCACTTGGCTGGAGCGTCAGTCTGTAACCGGAGGGTTGCGGTTCGCTCCCCAGCAGGGTGTTCGCTTAGGCCGCGGATTCGGCGCGGTCTGAGCGCTTAGGATCCCTGGTCCAGGCGCTTACGGCACCCAGTCTGGGCAGGTATGGGAGGCAACCAGTTGATGCTTCTCTCTCCCATCCAAGTTTCTCTCTCTCCCTTCCTCTTTCTCTTTGAAAACAATGAATAACGTCCTCGGACGAGAATTAAAAAAAAGAAGTGTCTCAGGAGGGCTTTATGTGCCTCCCAAACTATCAGCTACTAATGAGCAATCCATCAAAGAAGCGTACTCCTTATACTATGCAAAGTGTCAGTAAAGCCCTACCCCTAAGGTACAATATATAGGAATTTTGGAATCTCCATTGCTCCATACCAACACCTATTTTTCTCCCATATTCTTTCACTTCCAAAAATTGCATTTACTGAATTTTATTCTTTTCTGCCTCAATTTGAGCCTAATCGTCCTCATACACAGCTGAATTTCATTAATGAAACAAATACTTCTAGTGGGTAATCTCTTATAAATTACTTAAGATAGAGCCTTTTTAAAATATCCTCGCTTTTTTTAATTTTTCAATTGTGTTAAAATATATATACCATTAAATTTACCATCTAAAACATACTTATACAGTTCATTGGCATTAAGTACATTCATATTGCCCTGGGCAGTGCAGCTCAGTTGGTTGGAGGGTCATCCACTAAGCAGAAAGGATGCGGGTTCAATTCCCCGTTGGGGTACATCCATACATAGGTTGTGGGTTCAGTTCCCGGTTGGGGCAGGTAGGAGAGGCAATGGATCAATGCTTCTCTCTTGCCTCTATGTTTCTCTTTCTCTCCTTTTCCATCCTTTCCCTTCTTTCTACAATCTGTGAGCATGTCCTTGGGCGAAGATTAAAAACAAAAAAATACATTCACATTATTGTGCAGCCATGAGTACGATACATCTCCAGAACTTTTTCATCTATCCAGACTGAAACTCTGTACCCATTAAACAATCAACCCCCATTTTCCCCTTTCTGCAACCCCTAGCAACCACCACTTTGTATTTATAAATTTGACTCCTCTAAGTATAACACAGAGTATTTGTCTTTTTGTGACTGGCATATTTTACTAAGCACAATGTCCTTAAGTTTTATCCATGTATGTATGCACCACATTTTATATATCCATTCACTTGTCAATAAGCTCCCACCTTTCAGATGTTGTGAATAATACTGCTACGAAGTTGGTTTACAAATATCTGTTTGAGACCCTGTTTTAAATTATTTTGGGTATATACCCAGAAGTGAGATTTACGGATCACACAAAATTCTATGTTTAACTTTTTGAAGAACTGCCATACTATTTCCATAGCAGCTCTACCATTTTACACCCATAGTCAGTGCACAGTGTTTCAAGTTCTCCACCTTCTCACCAGCACTTCTTTTCTTTTTTTTAAAGTAGCTATCCTAAGGGCTATGGTGTTTCTCCCATCTCCTCAAGCAGTAAGTAGGGAATAGATGCATGTTAACAGTTCATTTAATACCGTCATTTGTTCATTTCTCATTGCATGAAGAAACTTCTTACGGCCAACCGAAATCTGCTCTGGCTACAATTTCTCTCTAGTTTCTGTCTTCTCCAATATTCCCCTAATTCAGGAAATGTAAAATTAATTTGGACAATTAAAGGGTTTGCAGTGCACTCATAGAAAGCGTTTCACCCAGCTCATTTAGCCATGTCTCCTTCCATCAAAGTAAGTACAGGAGAAAGTATTTTCAGATCAGAAAAGGTGAAAGTCCCAAGACTCTGGGATAACAGCCAGGGAAAAGAGTAAAACAGCATTTGTATAGCAGACAAAGTTTTTAAAAGTCACTTTCACATTTAATCATCCTATATAAGGAAATTCTAGTGATGTTCCCATTTTCATATGTAAAAACTAAGACACAGTGAAGTAAAATAATTTATTCAAAGTCACACAGCTAGAAAATTCCAAGGTTAAGACCCAATTGCAGCCATTTCACTCCAAATCTTGTGGTTTTGGGGTTTTTATAAATAATTTTCATTAAATGCATTGGGATGACACTGGTTAATAAGACCATATAGGTTTCAAGTGTACATTTCTACAATACTAGATCGGTACATTGCACTGTGTGCACCCCACCTAAAGTCAAAGCATCTTCTGTCATATGTCAGGCCTCTCCAGCCCCAACCCTACCTCCCACATCCTTTTGACAACCACCACGTTACTGTCTGTGTCCACAAATTTCAGTTTTCTATCCCACATATGGCTGAAATCATATGGTTCTCAGCTTTTTCTGACCGACTTATTTCACTTAGTACAATATTCTCAAGGTCTGTCCATGTTGTCACAACCACACAAAACTACATAAGAACTACTAAGGTCTTCACTATGAAGCTGGAAAACTTTTAAGGATCTGTCTGTGGGTGGGGGGTAGATAATTTGCATTTGTTGTTAAAATAGAATGGTTCTCCAAAGGCGAGCAGTTTGCATAGAGCTCATTAATCACTAACTCTTCAGGCAACCAGACTTGCTCAACCCTGGACAGTACATGCTGATGGATGCAGAATTAGGCAAGACATAGGTGCTCAGGTATCTCTCGTCAGGGAACTTGCAGAAATACTTCTCAATAACCAAGAGTCTATCAGACCGTGGTTGTCTTTTTCACTGAACATGCTTCTTACAGGACTTCTTATTCACATGGCATCATATTCTCTGTTGATCGATCATGTGAACCCTCTTAGCCCCAGTGACCACACATCTTTCTCTTTTCAGAAAATATTTCCTCCCTTTTAACCTTTCCAGGAATCAGCCCTGGCTGGTGCAGCTCAGTGGATTGAGTGCCGGCCTGAGAACCAAAAGGTCACTGGTTCAATTCCCAGTCAGGGCACATACCTGGATTGCGGGCCAGGTCCCCAGTAGCGGGCGCATGAGAGGCAACAATGATGTTTCACACAATGATGTTTCTCCCCCCTCTTTCTCCTTCCCTTCCCCTCTCTCTAAAAATAAATAAATAAAATCTTAAAGAACATGGTGAACTTTGAAGAAGCTAACGTGGGCAAAGCATACAAAGTTTGTGTTGGGTACATAACGCCCCCTCCCACAATGACCTTCCTGCCTAGAATGGACAATGGACAAGTGGTTGAAAATTGCAGGGAGGCATCTGAAGGAGGACACTGAACTTTAAAAGACTTAAAATAGACATTTAAGACCTTTACTCATCACCTACTGTCCCTGAGGTCCACTTCCCACTTCTGCATCGCCGCACTTGTTTTGTCAATCTGCGCGGAAGTGTCAGGTGTCATTATCTGTCCCATTTATTCCGTTAGACTAAGGGAAGCAGCCCGGTCCTTTGTTTGGTTTGTAGCCCTGTGACTGTGTGCTTACATGGTTCCCTATACACAGAATACTCCTTATAAGCCACTGGTGTGCTCAGAAGTGGGCCCTTAAGCTGTCTTTCTCTAAAGAGGTCTCTAGAGCTCAGATACCCCATCGACCTCTGCAGCTCAGTCAGTGCTGGTCAGAACGGCCAAGAAATACAAAATTCTGACAATTCTGTAGCTCGTCTGCACATGTGCCTTCGCTTGTTATTTAATGCCCAATGGATGAATGAGCCTAGAATAACCTCTATCATTCTTTTCTTCAGAGAGATATCCGGTATCTAATAAGCCTGGTCCGTAGCATTGGAAGACCACCAAAGATAATCAGATTTGACTCAGCAGCACTGCTTATCTCAGACACCTCTGCCTAGGTGACCTCCCCCAGCCTCTCCCGGTCTGAGGTCAAGGACGCCACACTGTGTTTGCCTTAATTGGCTCCCTGTGCTATTCAGCACACTCTGTATTTTCAACAAATATACCGTAAATGCTACTCGTCTGGTGATGTTAACTCATCAACACAACCACCTTAAAGATCTGGGAGTTGAGCCAAGAGACTTTTGAAATTCACGGTAAGAATAGCTGGCACTTATGTAAGGTGATATAGAACACACAGAGCCAGAGCATGCACTATTCAAAGCACTAGGATTTACTCTGTGTGAAGCAACATGCTAAGTATTTTATTGTATCATCTCATATAATCCTCATAACAACCCCATGATAGGTATTCCAGCTCTACATACAAGGAAAATCAGATGCAGAGAAACCCAGCAATATTCATGTACTTTGTAACGACATCACACGGTCCCCATTTTGGGATACCACAGGTAGTGTTCAAGGCCAGCTCCCCAGCTCCCTAAGTCTGTAGGTGAAGTATGTAACTTTTCCAGTCTGAGCTTTCTTTTTCATAATGAGACTAACAATACTTAAAGTCCCTGGCGCTGCCACACGTCTTGCCTTCATGAATCATGGAACTCCTCTTTACGTGTTCTCTCTGCCTCAGTAACCTGGAGGTCCCCACATAGCTTCAACAGCGTCTGGAATTCCAACTCTGGGGTTGGGCAAGCTGAGCCCCCATCCAGCCTCTCCGTCTGATCTTAGACAGCAAGTCACCCAATCTTTCAGTTCCATCATTTGTCAAATACAAATATCAACACTGGTCCATCAATTTTAATGCTTAGCGTTAAACATAAAATAAAAGGAAAAGTATGGAAAGTCCCTGAAAGACTTCAAGTACTTCTCAAATTAAAAAAAAAAAGTAACAGTTTTAATTTGAGCATTTTTGCACAAAGTAATTGCTGTTGTTCAAAATATCGAAGTAAATGGAGAAACTGAGTTCAAGATAACGAGGTTAACACCCATTTATTCCTATTATGGTGCAGACAGAGTCTTGGACTGGAGCTTGAGAGCTCTGGGGGCTAACTCTAACTTAGCCGCAACTTTGGACAAACCACTGGGCTTCACCACAAAATAAAGATATATTTGCCTTCTCCAAGCTCAGTGACTTGGGTAGGGGCAAGATACAAAATGACTCAGGAAAGCTGAAACAAGAGAACCTCTAGGAGCCTGGCCACGTGACTCAGTCGGTTGGAGCGTAGACCCTCGCACCCAAGTTTGCAAGTTCAGCTCCCACACAGAGCCCATATCCTAAATACCTGGCTTGCAGGTTTGAGCCCATCAGAGCTTGTAAGAGAGGCAACCGATCGATGTTTCTCTCCCTTCCTCTTTCTCTAAAATCAATGAATATATCTTCTGGTAAGGATTAAAAGAATAACATCTAGGAAGTCAATTGTATGCATTTTTTAAAAAATATGATACCAGGTTTTTTTCTTCTCCATTTCCTTGTCACAATCTAAATGTTATCCAGATGTGAACACGAGGAGGCCTGTCTTTGTTTATGCTGTACCTTTTGACGTACACTTGGGCTTTTCTGTGCCTCAAAAAGTTTCAGTGCTGTTCTTCAAGACACAGGTCATAAAGGGGAAACAAGGTTAGGGGTGGGTACAATGATAGGAAAGAAAAGTCAAAGAGTGATAGCATGCTCCAGCATGGCTGCACCCTCTCATTCAGTACAGACAGAGCCAAGACAGCGAAAGGGTCCTTGACCCCAGACAAATGCCCTCAGCCATCACAGATCGCGGATGGCAAGCGGTGTGCGTGCGCACTGACACAGGCACACACACACACAGAGCTCCACGGAGAGCTGCAACTCCCAGCCCAGAAAGGATTTGTTGTTTCAATTAAACTCATGGAGATCTCTGCCACATGTTTGGGAAGAAAGGAAAAACCGAAACAAGACCAAATTACTTTGACTATCTCCTTGGGGGTTGATCTATATCAAATAAACCACCACTGGAACATCAGAGCTTTTACTTATGAAAAACAGAGGTAGGTGCAGAATTGCATCAATTGGTACTAAATGAAAGCCCTGGCAGCAGAAGGCAATGGATTTGGATGCACCCATTTAGGTCCTCTACTTATGTCTAAATCGCAGGGTGGGGAGCAGATCACAGCCTGGCAGAGCCTGGCCCACTCCTCATCTCCTCTGTGGTCCTCTCCCACTCGCTCACGGCCTCAGCTGCCCGGTTAAACAGATGGACAGACGGTAAAAGAACAAAGTGCTCAAGTGCAGCAGCTAAGTCCTGTTTCACACCCTGGCCCACCACTGTTGCCCCTGCTGGGACAGGGAGGCAGAGGATGGAGGGCTGGGTGCTGCTGCAGTTGATTCTGTACAAAACAATGGCATTTTCACTCACACCCCCTGAAGGGCTGGCCAGGCTGATTTACACATTGATAGTGTGTGATGCTTTGTATTCCAGAAAGATTTCATCCCTGGATGATAATAATCTTTGCATTGTTTTTTTTGAAAAGATCAATCCCTTTTACTCTAAAAACTCTTGAATAAAAATAAAATGCTTAAGCTCAGTATACACTGTGCCTATGTGAAATCATGTGATTTCTTAACCTCAGTCCTCAGATATTTTAAAGGGGACATCTTTGCTAACTTGCTTTGTGTGAGATCTTAATTCTCTCTAATTTTAGATTTCTGTGTTATTAACTGATATTATAAGACAGCACATTAAAGTCTGAACTACTTTTTAAAATTAAATAGTAAAATCTTAACCTAAACTAAATCAATGAGTATGTAGCATGTAGTATTTTTTGCATTCATTGCTCATAGTCATCAAAAGGATCTTGATTTAATTTCATTATCACAAAACTTGTTTCTGCCTTTCTAAATACTTTTTCTTTCCAAAACTATGTTTAAAAAACTCTACTTCTACACAGACTCTAAAAAAAGTCTATACTCCTTTCTTAAAATTAAAGTTGGACATTGTGAAAAATGCACATTAAACATAGACTGAGATGGCTCTTCTCTCTAAGACAGGCTCACAATGCAGCCTGAAAGACCACAAAATTTCCAAAAACAATAGCAACGAAAACCAAACTGTCTTTCATCTTCAGCAGCAACAAAAGCAATAACTTTCACCAAACCAACCCACACCAAGAATTAATATAACACAGAACATATCCACATTCAGACCATTATGGCTACATTAGCTCACCACATTTGTTTGAAAAACACACATAATTTGTTGTAGAGAGAAACTCTTATACCAAAAGAGGTTCTTTCAAATGCAAATTAACCCAAAGATATATTTTCCCTGTGTTTGGAAAACCACTACAACATATTAAAAAAACATACTTTGTGTGTGGAAAAAAATGGTGTACACCCACTTATTTGAGAAGCAATTAAATTCTCTGTAGATTACCTTAACAGTTGAGAAAAGTTAACTCCTGGCTCCATGAGTCCTTAAAACTTTATTAGCATTCACTGACCTAAGCAGTCTTCAGTTCCCAGGTAGCAAAGTTTCTTTTCTTCTCCACTGAAATGTTCATGTAGACACTGAAGGACAATGTATTAGTGAACTGATCAGAAAAGAATATTGTTTCCAATCTTATGGCAGAAAGAAAGAAAGAACGAGAGAGAGAGAAAAAAAAGAAGGGCAAAATGCAGTCTAATCAAGCATTCTTCCTGGTGGGGGAAAAAAAAAGTAAATCCAGTATTTTCCAGTATTCTGGAACGAGTTCAAACATAGCTTGACAAGCTAACGGAGAACTTACACTGAGCATGCTTAGCCCAGCACTGCTTGCATGAGACGCTCTTAATGAATATTACTTCCTTCCCACTGGCTAGTTCTCCTGGAAGTCCACACCCACTCCTCTTTCAGAAGTCAGGAATTTTGCTTCAGCCAAAGTCCAGAAAACATGCTTATGCAGAGACAAGGCCTCACCGATCCATAAACCTTTAGGTTGTGACCTGCAGGTCAGTTCGACAAATAGAACATACGGGTGAATTTTTTTTTTTTTGGCCCTTGGTTATGTTCCCAGCTTTGTGCCTGTTCTAAACGGCAGTTCCCCAGAGAAAAGAAAAATAGGCAGGCTTCTTTCTAAGGAACACCACATCCTAAAAGCAGTTTAACAGCCTTTCCTGATCAAGCTCCCAAACCCAAACCCGGATCAGAATAAGAGTTATCTGCATATTAAAACACAGCAGGAGGATATTTAGCTTCTGGGTAATTTTTTAAAATTCTAACCAAAATGGAATCTTTCAGACAACTTACATATTAGTTCTCTCTAAAATGCAACATGCCAGTGCACAATCTGAAAATATTTAAAATTCAGATTTAACCCACTGTTCAACCACACTAAAAAATGGTTTTATTTTTCAAACAATGCTTTCCCTTTCCCTAAATTGCTCTGTCATGTTTAATTACAAGAGACACAAAATTCTGGAAATTTAAAAATGGACTACTTCTGCCCATCTGAGAAGGCAGAGTTCTTGCTCTGCAAGTGAAAAGCGCGTGGGGAAAAGGGGATGGGGAGAGAATATGAGAGGACATTTTATCTTTAAAATAATATTTTTTGTTTTCTTGATATTTTCAGGGTGCCATTTATATGGTTCTGTTTTCTATTGAATTGCAAAGTATAAATATTATTAAATGTTCATTTGGAATTAAAGTACTTATTTGTTTAGATGTGCATACATACACACACACCAATTTGTAGTTGAAAAGAAAGGATGTCACAAAGAATGAATAGCAATAGAAATTTCCTAAGTGTTCAAAGAAATGGTGTGCCCAGCCATTAAAACGAAGCCCGCTAAGCTAGCATTTATTTCTTGGATTAATAAAAGGGGCTTCTGTGTACCTTATGAGTGAATTTATTGCCTCTTCATTCCTACAATACCTTCAGCAGCCACTTGGAGCTGCTGGGATGCATTGCCCATATGCAAGATCCTTGTAACATAAATATTTCCTTGGAGAGATCAGAGATGGTAGTGAAAGAAGTGGAAGCTACCCTCACTTCCTCCCAGGATCAAACTGGAATTACAACTAAAATAGAGAGCAGTCAACCTGAATAACCAACTGAAGAGAAGTTTTATAACCAAGGATTTTCAGAAGAAGCCACATCGTGACTGGCAGAGATGCAAAAAGTGCTGGCCCGTCTCCCAGGGGTAAAGGCTGAGATTCCAGAGGTATGTGTCAGCTGCAATGATTCCCCCTGAGAAAAATGGGGTCTCAACACCAAGCAGGGCTTCCCAGCCCGGGGCACCAGAGCTGCAAAGAGGTGCCCATACAACATCTGGCTGTGGAAATCGCCCGGGATGCTGTCTGCCAAGAAGGGGTAGGGAAGTTTTCCAGAGACACAGGCACCCTTCTAAAGGACCAGCAAACAAAATTTAGTTTGCAGCTACTCTCCCTGGACTCTGCCGAAGAGAGCGCAGAGCCAGCTAGAGCTGTGTGAAGACCAACTGGGGTGTGGCTCTGGGGAAAGAGCTACAGGGACAGCTGCCAGGTCCCAGTGCTAAGTCCTTCTCCCGCACCCCAGATGCCATCTTTCTTGGGGAGAGCACCCCCTTCTGTATGAAATCAGCCTGGGGAAATGCTGTAGCCCACACCTTTAGACTCCCTGTAACACCGCACTGCAGAGCTTGTGCCCTGCTAAGGTGTCAGCTGCCTGTGCTGGGTGTAGAGGTCGGGGCAGACTCATGAGTTTCATTGGCTGAATTTGTGACTCTGGGACGAGGGCCGTTCCCCTACATCCCCTTGAACCTGACCGGTGCCTCCCCGTCACAGGAGACTCTCTAGCCCCGCTCTCTGGGCTCCCCATTGTGGTTGGCCCGGCAGAATCTGGGGCAGCCTGAGCTGCATGGTCCTAGGCCTGAGGCCCTCACTTTCCCAAGCCGTGCAGCGCCCTCCCTTCACGTGGCCAAATACTGGTTTGTCAGGGACTGATAAATGCTCTGGCCTCACCATGATGACCATCTAAGACACGACCTCCCCACAAATGTGTGAAGCACCCAAAAGGTGGCAGCTAGACTCGGTATACTTTAACAGGGGTGTCCAACATTTTGGTGTCTCTGTGCCACACTGGAAGAAGAAGAGTTGTCTTGGGCCACGCATTCAATACATTGCAACACGTAATCACATTTGTGTTAGGTCATATTTACAGCCATCCTGGGCTACCTGCAGCCCGCAGGCAGCAAGCAGGTTGGACACCCCTAAGACAATTGATGAGTGGCCTGAGACCCAGCGCTGGCACAGATTTTTGAACCTGTATCCCTCTAGTAAAAACCAAGTGTCCCTACCAGGTGACTCACAGAGAACCTACATCATGCAACTTGTGTACCACCAGAGTCTCTTTCAGTGACTGAACCTAATAGAATCAGGGAGGCAGATGCAGGCGGAGGTGGGTCTCATTATGCCTTGGGCTTTAACTGACCTGCCCCTGGTCCCAGTGCTGGTGAAAGCCAGCCTTGTTGTGCTGTTTGGACCTTCCCACCTTCACCCAGGCCCAGCAGAGGGAGTCACAATTGGAGGATCACTTTGTAGCTCCAAACACGTGGCCCAGGATCAGTGACAGGCAGCATCAAATGTTGGCCTGCACTTGAAACCCTCCCAAGAGGCCCCAGAACAAACACACCTAGTGGCCACCTTCAAACAACTACAGAGAAGGATCCAATTAGCTTCGCAAATGGCATATCCAGAGGGAGATCTCAGCAGGCATCAAATACTGCTGAGGTGAACTTTGTATCATGTAGCAGAACCCACAAAGCAGCTCGTACCCTGTGGTCAAGGTTGATTCTCATGGTCAGCCATCTTAAGGGTCAATTCCATGCACAAATAGGCCAGTAACAATAAAGATTCAATTATAAAGGAAGATCTTACATAACCCATACAAGGGACATTCTTGGAGCACTCACTCGGGTGATCAAGACTGTGCCACTGCTACCCACAGGACATCTACTACATAAGGCCACCTACAAAGACTGGAAGTCATAGCAGATATACCTAATACTTAAAAACAAACACTATAAGGCAGCCAAAATGGGGAGAGAAAGAAGCATTCCCTGAAGAAAAAATCCCCAGAAAAAGAGCTAAATGAAATGAAGGCAAGAAATTTACCTGATATAGAGTTCAAAAAAAAAATCATTATAAGGGTGTGCAAGGAACTTAGAAAGAATCAAACAGCATTAAAAAAAAAGACACGGAAACCATAAAAAAGAACTAGGCTGAAATAAAGAATGCAGTATCTGAAATGAAAAATACACTAGAAGGATTAAACAGTAGGTTGCATGAAGCAGAGGACTGAATCTGCAATTTCAAAGAAAAAGCAGCAGGAAAAAAAACAAAGTAGTAAAAAGAAAAATAAATTTTTAAAAGGGATAGTTTTAAAAGTCTTTGGGACAACATGAAGAGTAACAAACAACATATGCATCATTGGGGCACCAGAAAAGGAAGGGAGAGAGCAAAAGATTGTGAACCTATTTGAAGAAATATGACTGATCACTTGCCTAACCTGGTGAAGAAAAATAACACAAAAGTCCTCAGGTGCAGAGTCCCAAAGAAGATGAACCCATAAAGGCCCTCATCAAGATACATAATAATAAAAATGGCAAAAGGTTAAAAACAGGGAATCTTAAAAGCAGCAAGAGAAAGAAAATTGATTACCTACAAGCTCCCACAAAACTGTCAGCTGTTTCTCAAAAGAAAAATTTCAGACCTGGAGGGATTGTTATGAAATAATCAGAGTGATTAAAAGCAAGGACCGACAACCAAGACTTCCTTACCAGCAACGCTGTTAGTTGAAATTGAAAGAAAATTCGAGAGATTTCCACAGAAGGAAAAGCTAAAGAAGTTTGTTACCACCAAACTAGTATTATAAGAAATATTAAAGGGCCTGCTTTAAGAAGTAGGACAACAACAACAAAACAGAGAAGAATAGTTAGAAGAATAAAATTACAATAAATGCACACCTATCAATAACCATTTTTGAATTAAATGGCTTAAATGCTCCAATCAAAAAACATAGAGTAGCTGAAAGGATAAGATGGTAAGACCTATACATATGCTATCTACAAGAGACCCACCTCAGAATGGAAATATACACACAGTGTAATAGTAAAGAGATGGAAAAAAGATATTTCATGCAAATTGAAAGGGAAAAAAAACTGAGATAGACTACTTATATCTGACTTAAAGACTTTGAAACAAAAAAATAATAAAAGACAAAGAAGGGCACTACATAATGATAAAGAAAGGAATCCAACAAGAAGATATAACCCTTGATAATATTTAGGTACCCCACATAGGAGCATGAAATATATAAAGCAAATCTTGATAGACATTATGGGAGAGATTGATGGCAATAAAGTCATAGTAGGGGACTTTACCACCACATTGACACCAATAACTAGATCTTCCAGATGGAAAATCAATATAGAAACGGCTGCTTTAAATGACATACTAAACCAGATGAATTTAATTGATATCTTCAGAATATGCCAGCCCAAAGCAGCAGAATGTTCATTCTTTTCAATGCTTTTGGAACAGTTTCTATGATGGAACACATGTTAGGACACAAAACAAGTCTTAATAAATTTAAGGAGACTGAAACCAGATCAAGCACCTTCTTACCATAATGTTATAAAATTAGAAATCAAACACAAGAAAAACAACTAAAAAACTCACAAAGTTAGAGAGGCTAAATAACATGGTATTAAACAATGAATGAGTTAACAGTGAGATCAAGGAAAGATCAAGGAAGAAATGAAAAGATACATTGAAA